CCTGCACAGCCCCCCCCTCCCCGCGACTGGGGATTAAGCCTGCAACCTGGACATGTGCCCTGACTGAGGAATCAAACCAGTAACATCTTGGTTCCTGGGTCCATGCTCAACTGCTGAGCTACACTAGCTGAGTGGGAACCACCTACCTTTAAGGCGGGGATGTGGGAAAGGAGTACACACAACTCGCTGCAATTGAAGAAACAAAGAGGTGGGTGTTGGCAAGGGAGCCAAGAGAGGAGAGAGTCTGAAGAGGAGGGAGAGGTTAAAGATGGTCAAAGGTAGCAGGAGGTCAAGTTAGATAAGAGCTGAAAAGCACCTATGGATTGAGCAACATGGAGGTGGATGGTGACCTTGGTTGGTGCCTTCAGTCCAGTGGTGGTCGTTGGATGCAGAAGGTTGAGGGGTAAGAGGGGAAGACAGAGACATGGGCCAATGGGCAACTCTTCCCGAACATTTGGCAGTGAAGGGGGAAGGCAAGTGGCTACTTGCTAGAGAGGCTACTGTCCTCTCAAAGCAAATGACCCTGGTTTACAGAAAGCGACAATATTCCACAAGCTGAGTTCACAGGCAGGCCCAGGGATATTTAATTTTTGTTAGGAGAAATGACATGAAGCTACATTTCTATCCCCTTTACTTTTCCTCATCTCTGAACAGTAGGGAAGAATTTCTCTCTCTCTCTCTCTTTCTTTCTTTCTTTCTTTCTTTCTTTCTTTCTTTCTTTCTTTCTTTCTTTCTTTCTTTCTTTCTTTCTTCCTTTCTTCCTTTCTTCCTTTCTTCCTTTCTTTCATATATTTTTATTGATTTCAAAGAGAAAGGGGGAGAGAGAGAGAGAGAGAGAGAGAGAGAGATAGAAACATCAATGATGAGAGAGAATCATTGATCGGCTGCCTCCTGCACGCCCCCATTGGGGAATGAGCCTGCAACCCAGGCATGTGCCCTTGACTGGAATCAAACCAGGACCCTTCAGTCCGCAGGCCGGCACTCTATCCACTGAGCCAAACTAGCCAGGGCAGGGAGAATTTCTTTTAATTGCTGAGACAAAATTTTACAACTGTGACAATGACGGCGGTTGTTCTGGTTGCTTATACAAGTAATGGCTAAATTGATTTTGGAAGTAGGATTCCAAATTGTAGCACATAATGCAATCAGAGGTCCAGAATTATGAGGAGGAAGAGAAAGAGAGAGGGTGAAACAGGAAAACCACCATTGCTGCTTTTCACTCCATAAAGAATATTGAAATAATGGACCATATTCTGAAAACTTAAAGTGCTCTGAGTAACTGATCAATCCCAAAGGACAGATTAAATTTCTTCTACTTTTAGGAGGAAAACCAGATTTAAAATTACCTTTGATTTGTCCTTTTGCTTTATTGAATCTTTGAGGGAATTTGGATGTAGGCACCATGTCACCTACACTGTTACTCAAGGTAAGAATTCCATGTTGAGGTTTGTGGGCCTTGGGGCTGTAGTTATCACACTCTCAAAGTAGATTACCAGGTGTTGCATAATTATTGCAACACCTAGTGTGCAAGGAATAAGGAAATTTGCATCTGAGTATAAACATTTGTAGTTAATCCTTGTTTTCCTGGGGAGAGGAGAAAGCCCTGGGACCCCTGATTAAGTCACCTTGCATAACAAGCTATGGGCATAAAGATGGTTTTCAGAGGTGAAGGCCTATATAATTCCTAAAATAAACTTTCCCCAAATGAGAGAGCAAGTAAAAAGAGCAGTTAAGAAAACACAAAGCTATGCAGAAAGGATATCGACAAAGGAACCTTCCTTAGGCTGCTCTCACATGGGCGGGTAATTGCCTTAAGGTAAAAGCTCATCCCCTGTGTTCTAGAATATTCTCAGACCATTCAATTCTCTAAAAACTATTCACTGTTTTTGATGAATCAGCATTTTGAAAAACTTGTCTATCTAGGTTAGAAATAAAAAAGCTTGCCGTGAACAAATATCTACATATCTATATCTGTCTTGTAGATGAGAAATATTGCAGTTTTTCCTGAATTTAAACAGTCATCCATGGGGGTCTCTAGCCTGAGAATAATTCCCTATTTCCAAATATTTTGAAATATAGAATTAAAAGTGTGTATGTGTGTGTGTGTATGCTGGGGGTGCAGACTATAGAGTTCACTCCAGATTTAAATTGTGTCCAGGATGGAGCAAGTGGATTTATAGGAAGAGGAACTCTCATGTTAGTTCGACTCCTAGTTGCCAGTCAAGGTGACTTATTTGGGCATCTGAAGATCAATGTACCTGTGCAGAGACTGAATCTTCACTGGCTATCCTATATAATAAAGAGATAATATGCAAATTGACCACCACTCCAACACACAAGATGGCCGCCCCCATATGGTCAAAGATGGCCAGCAGGGGAGGGCAGTTGGGAGGGACCAGGCCTGTAGGGAAGGGAAATTAGGGGCAATCAGGCCTGCAGGGGAGGGCAGTTAGGGGGGACCAGGCCTGCAGGGGAGGGCAGTTGGGGGGACTCAGGCCTGCACAGGAGGGCAGTTAGGGGTGACCAGGTCGGCAGGGGAGGGCAGTTAGGGGCAATTAGGCCGGCAGGAGAGGACAGTTAGGGGGAATCAGGCCGGCAGGGAAGGGCAGTTAGGGGCAATCGGGCAGGCAGGTGAACAGTTAGGCATTGATCAAGCTGGCAGGGGAGTGGCTAGAGGGTGATCAGGCTGGCAGGCAGAAGCGGTTAGGGCAGGGGTGGGCAAACTTTTTGACTCGAGGGCCACAATGGGTTCTTAAACTGGACCGGAGGGCCGGAACAAAAGCATGGATGGAGTGTTTGTGTGAACTAATATAAATTCAAAGTGAACATCATTACATAAAAGGGTACGGTCTTTTTTTTTTTTTAGTTTTATTCATTTCAAACGGGCCGGATCTGGCCCGCGGGCCGTAGTTTGCCCACGGCTGGGTTAGGGGCAATCAGGCAGGCAGGCAGGTAGGCGAGCGGTTGGGAGCCAGCAGTACTGGATTGTGAGAGGTATCCCAGATTGGAGAGGGTGCAGGCCGGGCTGAGGGACACACACACACACACACACACACACACACACACACACACACACCTGTGCATGAATTTTGTGCACCAGGCCTCTAGTTTTCCTATAAGATGCCTAAAACCCCAAATTTCTTCTTACTATCTCCTAGTACCTGTCATTTTTGAAGCCATACATGAGAGCTGAGTTTTAAGCACAAAGGAAGAAGTATGCTATGTAGCAAGAGAAAATTAACACAAGAATTTCTCAGAAAGAACTTAGTGAATTGTGATAAGTTCCTTGAAGTTTCTCTTGAATATATGTAGTTTCTTCTTCATTAACTAAAATGATGGCTGTTTTTGTTTTGATTGACATTCTCTTGGTTGGTTCAGCTGGTGAAAGCTGGTTCCAGCTAACTTGGATACTTGCCACATGTCCAGAGAGAGAGACATGCTTATCCTGTGTGGGGAGATTTCATCTCGGGGGCCTTCCCGCCTCCTCCTCCTGCCCCACAGAGTCCCTTTTTGTTGAGGTGCTCACCCTCTTGGCTGTGTGTTCAGGGTTTAAAATGATCTAGATGCCTCCAGCAGGTGAGGGCGGAGGTGATGTGGAGATTGGTAATCCACCTTTAGGGTCCAATCACAGTAGTTCTGTCTCCCCTGTCCCTGAAAGGGTGGGTAGGAAAGCCACCTGTGATGGACAGCTGGCCTCTTCCAGGGGGCGGAGATCTTTTAGCCTTGACCCCCTCTATTATGACCCGCACCCGCCACCCTATTCCACACCATTCTCACTAGATCCGTTCCTTTCACTGTTCCAGGCCTGTCCTGTCCTGATGGGGAGCTTCAGGCATGAAACAATTTGGGAAATTCCCTACTTAGGCTCTTGCTGGAAAACCCCAAACGGAAGACAAGAGCCGATCATAAATCTGGGAAGCGCAGACCTGGGCGCTGTTGATGAAGAGCCAGAAGAGCCAGGAGAAAGTTGCTGGTCGCTTCTTTTGTTTTGGGGCCTTTACCGCTGTTGGTCTACAATAGTCGGCAAACTCATTAGTCAACAGAGCCACATGTCAACAGTACGACGATTGAAATTTCTTTTGAGAGCCAATTTTTTTAAACTTAAACTATATAGGTAGGGACATTGTTATTAACTTAATTAGGGTACTCCTAAGGCGTAGGAAGAGCCACACTCAAGGGGCCAAAATGCCGCATGTGGCTTGCGAGCCACTGTTTGCTGACCACGGGTCTAGGATCACACAGTCTTCACCATAGGGAGTGTCCAGAGTAAAATGACTGGTTTACCTGTTTTATCTCTGAGAAACTTCTTTGTGTAGCTGCCAGTAACCTTTACCAGCTTTAAAAAAAATCATAAAAGCTCCTTACTGTATTTGAGCATCTTTGTGGCTTCTTTCAGTTGCCTGAACAGAAATATAATGTTATGTTCAACAGAAATATATTTAGTGTCTCCCTATAATTTTACACACACACACACACACACCACACGGACACACACACAGTTTTCTGTTTATAATTTCCTTCCCCATCTCTTTGCCCTAAACCTTATATTAATAAGCTCATTCATTCCCAACGCCACTTGGCTGCATGATGTTTTTAAAGTGGTTAGTCCTGTAGTGCTTTCCCCAGGTAAAAAGAGGTTGTTTGGAAATGGTATTGAGAAAGAAGCAAGCTGGCTCTGCAGTAAGATGTGTAAGACCAGTAAACCGGCCCTGACTCTTAGAGAAATGCTCGCTGTCTGGACGTCCCCAGCCCCTTAGCCCAAGGGACAGCACGCCTGCTGCCCTTTAGATACAGAGATAGTCCAATGCTCGACCTATGAACAAGCAGGCAGTTGGGAGGGAAAACTGGTCTGAAGAGTTCTCAGGCGTGGCGATCGCCCGATTGCACAAACATCGCCTCCTTGATTTTTGTCATCGTCTGGGAGAAGAAGAGGCATGAATAGGAATGTGTGTTTGGAGCGGCGGGGTGGGGCTGGCAGCGGAGGAGACGGAGAAAGAAGAAAACCCTCGTGGGGAACCTGCGGCGCCGTTCCTTTCCCTGTCCCCTTCCCTGCGACCCCCTGGCCAGGGCCCAGGCCTTGGGAGGCGGGTCCGTGCGCTCTGGAACTGCACGGGGACGCGCGATTCTCGCCTCCGGGAGAAGAGGACGCGGTCGCCCGCGCTGAGGACCATCCCTGGCACGAGACCCGCGCCTGTCCTCTCGGTGTCTACACAACGGCCACCGCGCGTCTACGAGCCACATTCCCGCTTCTGCGCGCAACTCCCACGCCCGGGCCCCTGCCCGCCGGCGCCAGATCCGCCTCCTGGGCTGGACCCAGAGGGTCCTGGGCGGCGTCTTTAAGGCTGCGGTCCCCGCCCTCCCTCCTCCCCGCCCTCGTGGTGTAGCCGCGGCTCCTCCGACCTCCCCGAGAGCCCGGCAGCCAGGCGCGCGCGGCGCGGAGCAGGTGCGGCGAGCCCCTCGCATGCCGCGGCCCGGCCCGCCCCTCCTCCCGGCCGCACTCGGCTCCGGCGCGCGGGGACATGTCGTTGGCGACGGGCAGCAGCGAGGCAGCCGGTGGGGCTGGTGGGGGCGGCGCGCGGGTTTTCTTCCAGAGCCCCCGGGGCGGCGCGGCCGGCAGCCCGGGCTCCAGCAGCGGCGCGGGCTCCTCCCGGGAGGACTCGGCGCCCGTGGCCCCCGCGGCCGGGCAGGTTCAGCAGCAGCAGCAGCAGCAGCAGCAGCGGCGCCACCAGCAGGGAAAAGTGACAGTGAAATACGATCGCAAGGAGCTCCGGAAGCGGCTGGTGCTGGAGGAGTGGATCGTGGAGCAGCTGGGACGGCTGTACGGCTGCGAGGTACCTGGACACCGGGCCTGGAGGGTGGGGGCCTCCCTCTCCCCATGTGCCCACCCAGGAATTCTCCAGGGCCGGGCGCGCACGGTCCTGGCTCCCCCAGGACCCAGCGCTGGGCGGGGCGCGGCGCATTCTCCATCCAGGGTGCCCTCTGGCCCCGGGGAGCCGAGAGTGGGACGCCTCTGACTGGGTTCAGCCTCTGGGTGCCCCGGAGAGCTGCAGCCCCCCTTGCTGGCTCCAGATGTAAATTGTGTCCAGGATGGAGAACCAGACTTAAAATTGGTGACGGTGTGGGGTTGGGTCTTGTTAAGCATATTGCATTTCTGCATCTCCAGGGGCTCACCCCAGCTGCGCTTAACCCCCGGGAGAACAGAACTCGCTCCTGGGATCCTGGTAATCCTGATTTTCGTGCAGAGGGAACCGAAAGGAGAGGTTCTGGGGATCTCAGAGGCCCCCTCTGCTCCTGAAATTCTACATCCAAATCAGGAGAGGAACGCGGTCCCTCTCCCAGCTCCCCGCCCCGCCCAGCCTGTTCCCATAATTAATCCTTTCATTGCCCAAAGCTGCACACCTTGAGCTTTGTGGAAGCGGCTTTCTTGCTTCCAAGCCGAGCTCAGCTGCTCCTGGTGATGGTGCAGAATGAAAGCCTCGGGCGACCTCCCTGGAAGGACGCCTGGGTGGAAGAAGGAAGGTAGCTCAGCGCTGGTGGGGACGCTGTGACCTCCCACAGCTCAGGGGCGCACGCCACTCCGCCCGACGTGTTTACATTTGATGCCAGGAGGAATATTTAGAGCGAGCCGTGACAAAGGTAGGCTAGGAAAAGGACCAAGGCCGGTATGATCTCTCCTCAGTCTTTAATAACAGTAATTTAAAATGAAGCCGTCTACTTCTCCTGCGGGAGTGGAATTTGGGGAGGGTGGAGGAGGATTAATAATTTTGGACATGGCGTCTAAGTTGAAGCTAGGTCTGTGTCCTTACAACTGTTAAAGCTCTTCAGTAACAATGAAAGCCAGATGGACTCCCTGGCTTCTCCATTGGTTTGGGGAAAACTAGAGTTTCACACCTTTTGTTGCCAATTGTGAATACATATCCTCCTTCACATTCTCATCACACAAGGAAACAGCATTCTCATTATGGACTACTGCTGAATGGTTATGATATAATGAAGCTTGACTATCTGACTCATGGGCTTGTAAAATATATTGTTTTTCCAGCCCAGCTCCTATAAAAAGCCATTTTAATGTCATGAATAAAAACTGGCCAACGTCGGAAGTGTTCATGTTCTTCTTAAGTAGTTAGCTGGCAAAACTCTCCAAAGGAACAATATATATGATTTGGATGGGGCTATTGCATGCTCTGTCTTGCCTCTGTAGAATCCAATTAATTTTCATTTATTAGTTTCATACAGGCCTTTATACTCCATTTTGAATTTGAAAGATTTGAGTTCATAGAAAAACTGTTGTTGAAATTAACAATGCTTTGGCAATGTTCCTTTTATGGGAGACTGAATGGATGGAGCTTGGGCAACTCGAGAGAGTTCCAGATTCTCAGTAGGTTGCCAATTCATATGTTTTAAAAACTCTTCAGAATAACTGGGGGGAAAATGGAGGATTGATTGTTCACTTTATTGAACATGTGGGTATATTTTTTAAAGGGTAAATATGACCTTGAATCTTTTCTTTGAATTTCTTCTTCTCTCATTTTAGACCAACATATAGCAAACAGCTTTAATTTGAAAGATAGGTTTTGTGGTGAAATGATACAAGATGCTATATGCTGCCCCCCTGTCATTAAAATGTGGCAAGCACTTCTCTTCCAGTTGTGTGTTCTGTCATTTTGGAGGGAAGGAAGATAAATCATTGAGAAGGTTGTTGGCAATTTGTAATTACTATGCTGATGGCACGCCTCATTTAATAATCGAAAGCACGTGGACAAATAATTAGCCATATAAAGGATTGTCTTCTTCCATCTAGCTCTCCCCTGGTAGGCTCTCTTTCAGCCTCATTTCTCTGGCCTGGTAGCCTTTCCTTGCTGACAGCTTCAAGTAGTTCAGCCTGTGACATGTACATGGAGAAGGACCTACCCTGGCTTAAAGCTCTGAATCTCATGAATACGAAGGTTAGGAAATGCCCTCGTTTAACACTTAAAGTTGGTAATTTTTTCAAATATTTATCACATGAAATTGACACAGAAAGCCAATTTGCCTGAGCTAACAGCTAAGTTGAGGGTTGGGTGCGGGGAGAGGGGTTTGAACACGTATTTAATTTCAGAAGAACTTTTAAGAGGCAGGTCAGCAGTTAGATGACTTGTCCTTCACAGAGTAGAAAATAATGATCTTTTGGAGCAGCATAAAGCATGAGATTTAACATTAGAAAAGAGAGGGAAGGAAGAAATACACTTCCTGGCTGTGGTCTTATCTAAAAGTTTGCACTGCGATCAGTTTTGTATGGAGAATAATATAAAGGCAGGATGTGAGGAGAGCTTATTAGGTACCAGGTGCTGTTCTAGGCACTTTGTAGGCACTCATTCACTTAGTCTTTACAACAACCCTGGGAAGAGGGTGCTGCTAGTATCTCTATCGTACAGATGAGGAAACTGAGACAGAAAGATTAAGAGGCTTTCCCAGCTCACATAGCTGGTGAATGGCAGGGGTGGGGGTGGGAGTGGGAGTAGAGTCCAGGCCTGCCTGAAACGTGGCAGGGTGTCATGCAAGAGAACAGACGGAGGCCCTCACAGCACACATCTAAATATTTTAAAGTTATAAATGAAGTCAACAAAGGAGCATTTATCTACCTGCCTTGACAACAATAGCTTCAGAATGGCCTGGAGGGTTAGGTTTGGATTTGGAATTCTCAGGCTTCCCAGAGCTCAGAGCTGGAATGCAGTTGGGGAGAATCTTCCCTGGACCCAGGGTCTGCCTCCCTTTGCATTTCTAAAATGCTTAGTTATTGTGTTTACATTTATTTTCCATTTCATCTCCTTGTACAGTTTCCTCCTAGGAATTTGGTTGTAATGGGACTGTTAGGTTAAGTCTATATCCACAGTTAAGGCTTTCTGGTTTAAGACATTTTCCTATCTCTTCCAAACCCTGTCTGGTTTTAAGAGCATTTGAAATCTGGCATAGCATCTCCATGGACACATATTGCAAGATGACTGACTGGACAAGTCCTATCAGTTTTTCCATCTTTCCCAACATCTAGATAACATCCGCATTCTCTGTTGTGCAATTCCATTTGCTTTGGAAATAAAAGCCTGTTGTTCATCTCAAAATGCCGGGGGGAAGCCTCACCATAAACAGGTTTGTGCATCGAGGGTTTTCCTGAGTTGTATCCGGACTGTCCATTTCGGAGGCCTTTCTCTTTGCTGAAGCGGCCGCATTTTAAAAAGTGGTTTCTGGCAGATTACACCTTTTCTTCCTCCCCGACTCACTACCATCCTCTGGCTGTAAATCAGTTTTTTTGATGGTGACTCATAGAAAGAAATACCCTTTGGATTGCTGCCTGATATACACACACAGACGCGCGATGTATGAGCAGAGCCACCAGCACCCCCTCATGTTACCATGTGCGCCAAAGAAAAAATTACAAAGGATATAAGATGTGACTTCATTAATGCTTAAATCTGATGTTCTGTTCTATTTCATTTCCCAAAGTTGTTGGTTGTGACCCTCTAGATTGATCTCATAACACATTTCTGGACCGTGGGTTGTAGTTTAAAAAAATACTGTAAGGTACAGCATAGGGCAGCGGTTCTCAACCTGTGGGTCGCGACCCTTTGGGGGTCGAATGACCCTTTCACAGGGGTCGCCTAATTCCATCGGAAAACACATATATAATTACATATTGTTTTTGTGATCAATCACTATGCTTTTATTATGTTCAATTTGTAACAATGAAATTGGGGGTCACCACAACATGAGGAACTGTATTAAAGGGTAGCGGCATTAGGAAGGTTGAGAACCACTGGCATAGGGAATATAGTCAGTAATATTCTAATAAGTAGGCATGGCGCTGGATGGGTACAGGATTTATTGGGTGATCACTTGTTAATTTATGTCTGGTCACCAAAACTAACATAATGATGTATGTCAACTATAATTGAAAAAAAATGATAAAAAATACTACTTCAAAAAGGGAAAAGTCTAAACATATGTAATAAAATTAGCTGACATTTATTGAGTGCTTTCTATGTAACAGGTATGATTTGTGTAATCCAAGTAACAACCTCTCATATTCCATTTTATGGATGTGGAAATTGAGGCACAGAGAAGTCTGGAAGTTGCTCCAGGGCCCTCCGGTGGGACTTGGCCGAGCAGGGATGTGCCTGAAAAGTCAGATGGCATGTTAGCCACTGCACTGTACTGCTTCCTGAGGGAGGACAGTGGGTCCCTTTTGTGAACCCCGTCTTTCACCCACCCTCCAGGTGTGATGGTTGGAACTTCTAAGCTGACCGACAGTGCCGGTGTGGGAATACCACTGTCAGCGGGTGTGTTCTGTGCCTGCATCAGGCCTCTTGCTTGAAGTTCAGGTCCTTGCTTTGTATGTAGATCCGTTGCTACAACATCAAATTAGCCTGCTGTGCTGCTTTGTGAGTCCCTCTGCTGGAGGTAGAAACTGCCGCTTAGAATTTGGCTTGTGAATTCTTTGGTGAAACACCATTTGTGTATTTGAGAATGAATAGCATTTTAAACAGAACTGCTTTAAAAAAATCTCCATAAAGTCAATCTGTAAAATATTAAGGAATAAATTAAACATGTTAAAAGTCTATGAATAGCCCTAGCTGGTTTGGCTCAATGTATAGAGTGTCGGCCTGTGGACCAAAGGGTCCTGGGTTCGATTCCGGTCAAGGACATGTACCTTGGTTGCAGGCTTCTCCCCAGCCTGGGCCCTGGTCAGGGTGCATTCAGGAGGCAACCAATTGATGTGTTTCACTTACATCGATGTTTCTCTCTTTCCCTTTCTCTTCCATTCTCCCTAAAAATCAATGGGAAAATACCCTCGGGT